TGGGAAGGGACCTCCGGGGATCCTCTGGGCCAGTGGTTCTGACCCTGTAGTCCACGGACCCCTGGGGGGCCACAGTGTCATTCGCAGCATCCGCGAAGGCTTGGAGCAGGGGTGGGGGGAGCGTCCAGCCTGGGAACATCTGGTCTGGCCCGCGGCAAGCACTGCGCCTCCTTTGCCCACAGCCCCTCCCCTCAGTGCTCCTCCGCACTCACCCCCCACGCCCGCCCTGACACACTTATACATTTGGTGCCAGTCTGGTTGGTGGGACCCCCTTGAACTGGGTGGTTTTCCTCTTAGAGACACTTCCTTAACCCTCTTAGGGGCCACAACGGGGCTGGAGTCTGTTCCTCCAAGTGGTGGCCCCGGACCTGTAAACTAAAATGTGTGGTGACTGATCACAGACAAACAAGGGGGTAGGTGAGTGAGAAGAATTGTAAAAACCTTTCATCAGATTTTAATGTAAAAATTGGTATTGAATTAGAATTATCACATTAAAATACCATCAAATGGGCCATTTGAGCAGGAAGACTGTGGATGCTGTTATAGGGAGTCATTGCATATTAATATCTTTAATTATATCTCTAATATATTGTTTTTATATTTTTATCATATAGATATATTCTAAACAAATAAAGATATTCTAATAGGGCTGTGTGCATTAACAGATTGACTTATTTCCTTGTCTCTCCAAATTTGAAGACGCTTCATGAGAAAATGGAAATATTTGATGCAGCCTAGTGCTTCAAATCTTGAACTAATTCTTGGTGGTCCTTGGCCACAGAAGGTATTTAAAGGGGGTCCGTGGTGGAGGAAGGGCTGAGAACCCCTGGTCTGGTCCGGCCAACGGGAGCAGGTGGCTCAGGGCCGTGTCACTCAGGTTTTGGGTTCCCATGAGGACAAAGACCTTCAGGCTCTCTGGGAACCTCTTCCAGTATTTCATCGTTCTTGCAGGAATGACATTTTTCCTTACGTGGAAGCGGGATTTATGTGTTACCTTTTGTGCCTGTCGCCTCTTGCCCTTTCTCTGGGCACTGCTGGGAGGAGTCTGGCTCCGTCCTCTTTACCTGCTCCCACCAGAAGTGCCAAGTCAGGAAAAGCTGAGAAGTCCTGGCTGTCCAGCTGCCCCTGAGCATCCTCCTCGCCTGGCAGGAGGGGGACACACCCTACAGCCAGGCTTCCTCTCCTCTCAGCAGAAGACTCTGAAAGAAACATCTTGGAAAAAAATTGAAACGGATAAATGTGTAATCACTGCGTCTCAGGTGACTAAGTTACCTTTCCAAAGCTCAAGCTGTAACGGAGGTTTAATGGAGTGGCAGCATTGGGAATATACAAGCTTAATCTCTGTCAACTTTGGTGACACTTGATTTTTTTCGTGCTTTTGGCGATATCTTCCCTTCCACTGTGTTTTACAAGTAACTTCTAATGTGCAGTAAAAAGAACTTTATTTCTGAAGTGTGGGATGAAAATACAGTTGAATATCTGCCCCTGTCAGTTCACCTTGGTGATGGAAGGAATCTGGCATTAATTACACTGGTAACACGTGTTGTCTCAAGTGGTTTTTGGCCTTAGATGTGGAAATTACTCATAGCTTTAGTTTCAAAGGAAGGACAAGAAACCAATTGTCTCCAGATAAAGGGAGAGGTGTTTTGATTTACTTTTTCCAGTTAGCAGAAGGATTTGCTTTTGTCTGGTGCACACCGGCCTCTTCGTTTGCCCGGCTCTTATGGCCGCTGTCCTGTTTGCCTTGTCCAGTGAACTATTTAAGTTCTGTTAGTTTACTAATGAGGAATTCGGGGCGATAGCTTGATTTCAGGTATGCTGTGTGGAACAGACATTCATTCAATGCTCAGAATCCAGTAGAACCATTAAGGAGGTTTTTTGTTAGCAGTGCTGGGGTCACCTGGGGATTCCCCACCAGAAGGGCTCCCCTGAACTAGACACACAGATCATACATATTCATTAGATTTCCTGGAAAGGGCTGTCTCAGGATAATGAGTTCCTGGAATTCATTTACACAGCCTGTGCATGGGTAGTGGAAATCGGGTGAGGGTCTTCGGTGGTCGGGGGAAGAAGTAAGCAGTCGTCTTCACAGTGGTGGCTAGCTGACCCTCTTTCTAGAATTGAAGTCCAGGTGCCTTTTTCCTAAATTAGCAAAATCTTCTTCCTGAGATAGTATCTCTGTCCGTTTGTTTGAGTCCCCCTTACCTTAGCTGGCCCAGATGTGTCCCCTGAAGGCCTTGGGTCTGCTCCCAGTGATTTCCGTCGGGAGGTCTAAACACAGAGGTCGGGGGGAAGAGCTGGAGAGTCCTTGGGAAACAAAAAACACAAGCAGAGCTTTGAAACAAACCGAGTAAAACGCGAAGTGTGGCAGTTTAACGTCGATCCACGATGGTCAGAAATGCCCTTGGCCGAGCCTGGTCACGGGCGACGCGGCCGAGGTGACGGGACGGAAGCGGAGGAGCGGGGTGAGCTGGTGCCCCCGACCTCTGCCAGGTGGCCGGAGGGATTTGGGGTGCTTCAGCAGGAAAAACCAGCCTGTTGCCGCTAATTAGCGCTAATTGCCACGCAGGTGAAGATCTGAGTCTGGCAGGATAAGCACTAGAGGGCAGTCTGGGTTTAGGCGTGGACGGGGCGAAAGCTGCGGGTTCTCTGCGGGGTGTGTGCAGCCCAAACCACGGAGGTGAAGGGGGGGACCCCCCCCCCGCCCCCAGCCTCCAGCAGCCGTTTCTGCACACACACACCCCCGCCAGGCCCCGTTTTGGAAGGATCTGTGCCGACAGGCTGCTGTGGACCTCGTCAGAAAAATGCCGTTGTGTGGGAGCTGTCAAACCGTGTGTGTGTTCTGCCCTGAAGTTCAAAACTGGGCTGGATTTGTGGTCGAGGTGGGGTGCTGGAGTGGGTGCTCACAGAAAGCGCCCTCTCTAGATGTCAGCTAATGCGCAACACAGAGTCTGGGTGATTTTCCAGGAACTTTCAGCTCTTAATTCATAGAATCCCAGAATCACTCAGGTTGGAAAATCCCCTCGGGATCGAGTCCAACCCCCAGCCCGACTCTACACAGTTCTCCCCTACCCCACATCCCCCACAGCTCATCCCAACGGCCCTGAAACCCCCCCAGGGATGGGGACTCCCCCCTCCCTGGGCAGCCTGTTCCACTCTCGCACCACTCTTGCTGGGAAACATTTTCTCCTCCTGCCCAGCCTGACCCTCCCCTGGGGCAGTTTCCAGCCGTTCCCTCTTGTCCTGTCCCTGATCCCCTGGGAGCAGAGCCCAGCCCCAGCCTCTCTGCAATGTCCTGTCAGGAGCTGCAGAGAGGGATGAGGGCTCCCCTCAGCCTCCTCCTCCTCACACTCAACACTCCCAGCTCCTTCCCTGGCTCCTCAATACAATCTAACACACAACACAAAGAGTCTTTGGTGATTTTCCAGGAACTTTCAGCTCTCAATTCATCACCAATTTCGAAATTCAACTAGTTCCTATCATTCCATTCCACGCCCTCGTCGGACACCGCTGCCCACTGACGCAGCCTTCCCTTGTCACGGTTACTCACCTTCTGAAGAACCTTCCTCATAATTCACTTCCAAACTCCTGAGAAAACACTCAAAATGTTCTATTTAACAGATATTTAATCTATGTCGAGCTTTTCACGGCCGAGCCTTTCTAAGTTGCTTAAACTGTCCGTTGTGTTCCTAGAGCCCCTGTGCTCTAGTAATTAAGCCTGTAAAACAATATTTATTAATTATTCCTGCTATTAATAATATACTAAGAGAAAAGAGTTTTCTAAAGCTTGTTCCTTTTTCCAGAGGCTGAGCAGTTCTGACATTGCTCTGCAGCGTAAAAAAAAATCCCCAGTCAGTGCTTGGGAAATAAACCCGCTACTTTTAATTATTTTGTTAATGGGGAGAGCTTATTGCAGAGGGGGTGACGACATCTGTTTTCTCCACTTGCAGAAGGATGTTCCGGATGGGTTGAAGGAGCTCTCCGATGGCTCGGAGGAGAGCAGCGACGCCCAGTCCGACTCTCAGAGCTCCGAGAACAGCAGCAGCAGCAGCAGCAGCAGTGACGGGTGCAGTAACAAAGATGGGAAGAAAAGCAGATGGAAAAGGAAAGGTAATTGTCCTGTTCAGGAGCGGGGATTTTAACAGGTGTCTGTGAAGGACTTGGAGGTTTTTATCCATCACATCTGCGGCCTCCTAAAGACAGCCTGAAATCTGCCGTGGGTGCTCGTGGATGCACACGAGTGCTGGTGTGCTGCTGTGGGTGCTCGTGGATGCACACGAGTGCTGGTGTGCTGCCGTGGGTGCTCGTGGATGCACACGAGTGCTGGTGTGCTGCCGTGGGTGCTCGTGGATGCACACGAGTGCTGGTGTGCTGCCCCCGATGCACACGAGTGCTGGTGTGCTGCCGTGGGTGCTCGTGGATGCACACGAGTGCTGGTGTGCTGCCCCCCACGGGGGGGGGCACCTGCAATTAAGGGTATTTAAGGCCTTGACCCAGTCACAGCCCAGCACACTGCACTTCCCACTTAGGAACAGGGAAACGATTTCTTCCCAGTTTTCTCTGCCACCCACCTGCTTTCCAAGATTTCACCTTTTACTTTGGGCCTTTCTGATGCTTTTGGAGGCTGCACCGACTGGGAGTGGTGCCAAGGCTCTGAGGTTAAAGCCTGTTACGTTTGCTGATGGCTCCTGTAGAGTTTGGGCTCGAGCCGCTGCGCTCTTCTGTCCTCTTCTGCAGTCCCTTTCCTCAGAAACCAGGCAATAGTGAGGCCCTTCAGTCCTGGTGAAAAGTAAATCGTGCACAGCAAGTGCTGGTTTTGCTCTGCTGCTCTCTCTGGGTGGTTGCTGACGTGGGACGGTTCAGCGACGTTTCGAGGATTTCCAGATTTTCTACAGAAGTCATGCCAGAGTACCAAGTGGAGGGAATGGTGGGTTTGACTCAGTTCTGAACCCTGATGCCTTTGCTCCTCGGAGCAGGCAGTGTATCTTGTCAGATAGTGGCTTACTGTTTCAGGAACAGCAGAAATCTGCACGTCTCAGCCAATACATTGTCATTTTTACATCCTGTATCAGTAATAAACTGAAGCCTGCCTCTGCTTCCAGCACCCGTCATTTGACCAGTGTCTGAATTCTGTCCCCCTTCAAAATTCTGCTCAGATACCTGCTTGTCTGCTTAGATGCTACGAGCTGAATTCATAAAAAAAGAGCTGTAATAAAATGCAAGGACGCGACACGCGTTGTTCCCTGGGCTGGCAAGAGTCCACTCACCAGAGTGGGGTTATTTTCCTTTAAAAATCAGCACGCTTTGTACCTTCACCCTTCCGTCCCATCGCTTCCTTTTCCCCCCAGTCATGCACAGAACTTCTTGGCTGAAACGAAACGTCATTTAAAACTTGCTCCCAAGGCTGTAGCATACCTGAGTGGAGGCTCATGAGAGGTTAAAGAGGAGCAGTAACGGGCGGGCTCTGCCGAAGCCCTGCCGTCGGGAGGGCTGTGGTGGGGGGATGATGAACAGAACCTGCTCCAGACCCTGCCTGGAGCTTTCCCTGCAGGCACAATGCAAATAACAGCAGTATTAGGTAGAATTTTAAGCGTTTAAAGCACCGTGAAAGTATAAAATATTAAAAAAAAATTGAGAAGTAAGACTTGACTCCGATTTCATCCTTCGAAAGGAAAGCTATAGATAGTAGGGCTAAAATATTTTCATTTCTAACAAATTCTCTCAAAATATTTGGTCAGCAAGGGAGGGTTTTTTTGGCTACTTTGCCCATGTCTCCAATGTTATGGTATTACATAAAAACCTACAAGGGAACTTATGTATCTCTTAGAGAGAACTTTATGTAGAAATACTTGTACACAGTTTTATATAAAAGTTTTATGTGCCATGGCTGAAAAAGCAGGAGGATGTGTGGTTTAGGAATGGGAACTCTTACCCTGAAATGGCTGGCAAAAGGTGCCCAAAACTCCCAATGTGACAATGTGAAGATAGTGGTTTCGGTATAAATAGAAAAAAGGAATTTTTCTCCCCTTTTTCTGGTTCTGCTGATTTTTCTTAGGAGTGGCAGTTTGGCTTTGAGCACAAAGGTCATATTTTCAATAGGTTTTCATGAACTGAGGATCATGAACCACCAGTGGTTAGCAAACCAGAAACGATCAGTGAATGATCAAAGTCATTCTGGTCAGCGTTGTTACGGAGCGTTTTCCTCCTGTGAGGAAATCTCCTTTCTGAATGCCCGCCCTCGACTCTGCTCCTTCCTTCAGCAACTCGGTGGCTCGCGAGTGCGCTGCTTCGCCTCACGCCGAGGTTTTCCAGGTTTTGCAGGGAAACGTTTTTTCTCCCCGAGCTTCCCTTTGAGGAACTTGTGTAAAACAGCGTGCCCGTTTGCTCAAGCAGGGCTGGATTTCTGGGCAGTGGGGTTTGGGAGCTGCAGGCGGATGGAGCAGCTTCTGGACTAGAGAGGGGCTGAGCGGAGCCTTCGCCTGTCAGCGTTTGCCCTGTGCTGGGAGGGTGCGGCACAGCTGACAGCCCGGGCACATCCTTTCTGTATTTAAAACCCGGCTTAAGCCCCGCCAGCTGGCTGGCAGTGTACAGCATCCCGGGGTGAAGCTCCCAGGCTGTGCCGGGCAGCGCAGCCCTACGCCGGCCGCTGCGGGGTCTGTGCCGGACACAAGCAGAGCTGCTCCACCTCGCCGGGTGATGGTGTTGCCTCCGTGCTTGGTTTCTTAGTTACACCAGAGCGAGCACAATACAACTTGGAGCACGTGTGCCCAAGCCTGGTGTTTTTGGAAAGCGTTAGACGTGCTGGGTTTGCTCAGCAGGTTTGTGCTGCACCTCCAGCAGGTCAGGGGAGGGGATTCAGTGCCTCTGGTGAGACACACACACCCCCACTCCCCCCCCAGTGCTGTGTTCGGCTCTGGGGGCACCAACAAAGGGCACGGACCTGTTGGAGCAGGTCCGGAGGAGGCCACGAGAAGGGTCAGGGGGATGGAGCACCGCTCCCGTGAAGACAGGCTGAGAGTTGGGGTTGTTCAGCTGGAGAGGGGAAGGCTCCGGGGAGACCTTAGCGCGGCCTTTCAATACTTACAGGAGGCACATAAGAGACACGGGGACAAACTTTTTAGCAGGGCCTGTTGCAACAGGACGAGGTAGATTTAGACTAGAGATAAGGAAGACATTTGTTATGGTGAGGGTGGTGAAGCACTGGCGCAGGTTGCCCAGAGAGGTGGGAGGTGCCCAGTCCTTGGGGTCCCTCAAGGCCAGGTGGGACGGGGCTCTGGGCGACCCGATCCAGTGGAAGATGTCCCTGCTCCGGGCAGGGGGGTGGGCGAGGTGACCTTTAAAGGTCCCTTCCAACCCCAAATACTCTGTGAGCACCTGTGGTGGATATTCAGGAGCCAGTGCCTGGGTACATACGGGACCTTGTTGTTTCACCTCCCCAGGTACTAAACTGGCCTCTCCCCTCTAGGTTTCCGCTGTGCTGCTGCTGGCAGTGAGCTCGGAGTTGGGTTTTGAGCAGCCTGGTTGTCCAAAAGTGGAGGAGAGGAGAAGAGCGCTCCTCCTGCTGCCGCCCGAGCAGGCCACGTCCCGCTCAGAGCAGGGAGACAAGTGACTCACATTCGTAAATCCCCAGCAGAGGGGACAATGGAGAGACAAGTCTCAGAGTCCAGACATTTATTGACTGCCCACAATGTACTAATTGGGCACACGATAATTGGCTGAGCATATAACGAGCTGTGGCAAGCAGTCCAGTGTGCCTTGTGTTGCTTAATGCAGCGAAGGGAAAGGGGGAAAGGGAAGGAGGGCGATGGAGGGGACAGAGGAACAGAGATCACTGCTCTGGGTTCCTGCCTCGACCCCGCCGCGAGGGTTCCAGGAGGCATCTGCCTTCTTCACTTCACCCCCTGAGCCCCTCTCCTCGCCCCCCTCAGTTTATACCCCCTCTCCTTGGGTCCGTCCCCATGGCCGACCCACACACCTACGGTCCCATGGGTGGGGAGGGGTCAGGTGTTCCATGGCCTGAGGTAATTAGCATGAGCTCGTTAGTCTCCGTTAGCATGTCAGGTGCTCACTTTACCACCCCTCCCTGGATGAGGAAGCCAAGGTCACTGCCCGGACAGACGCCCCTTGAGACCTGAGCAGGTGCCCCAGAGCAGAACCGTCCTGTCCCCACAGGGCTCCTGCCCTCCAGCTGCCTCCGGTGTTACTGGGGCAGCTGGTCAGCTCCGGCCTCCCCCCGCCCCGGGACTGGAGTTTCATTCCTTGGGAGTGTTTGAGAC